GTTTAAAAACTTTAAAGTTTTTAAAGTCCAAAACTTTAATCTCCACATCCAGTCTGCCCAATTAGACTACAAGTCTTCTAAGGTAGGTACTATGTCCTATGGGTCTTTAAAATTTTGACACCTAAGATTATATGTTCAGGGCACCTGGGTGGCTTAGTCTGTTAAGAATTGAACTCAATCTTAGCTCAGGTCTTGATCTCAGGGTGGTGAGTTCAGGATCCGCACTGGGTTCTGGGCTGAGCATGAAGCCTACTTAAAAAAAAAAGTTATATATTCAATAAATATCTAATGAGTTTAAAATAATTCATGTTGCACAGTGCTTTACAAATGTCCTCCATTGTATACATCCAGCCATGCTGACCTTCCTGCTTTAGCACATACTATGTCACCTATCTAAAATATCCATTCTACCACCATCCCCTTATTCTTTACCACAGAACTCTAGCTCCTTCAATAGTACTTAACAGAATTTCTAAGTGAACTCTAAGTTCCATCATGGCTGGGCCTCCATCTATGTTGTTCACCTCTGAACTCTCAGTGCCTATAAGAATGCCTGGCGCATAGTATACACTTACTAAATATTTGTTGACCAAATGAATACAATTTGTATAAGGACATGGCTAGTTAACTGAGACAGGACTAAAGACTACATCGTCTTTTATTCCAATGCTCTTTTCATGGTGCCACACTTTTTATCATATGCTACTGTATTGGGTGTGTATATAGCATATGTAAACTGCAATTAATTTTAATAATTCCAACTTCTTGTGACCATTACATCCACACTATATAGAAGATCTCTATTTTTCAATACATGGCCAAAGACATCCATCGTTAAAGTTGTGCAAATAACGGGACACCTGGGTGGCTCAGTCGGTTGAGTGTCTGACTTTGGCTCAGGTCATGATCTCACAGTTCATGAGTTCGAGTCCTCCATCAGGCTCTGTGCTGACAGCTCAGACCCTAGAGTCTGCTTCGGATTCTGTGTCTCCCTCTCTCTCTGCCTCTCACCCATTCATACTCTCTCTCTTAAAAATAAACATTAAACAATTTTTAAAAAATAAAGATGTGCATAAATAACACAATAATATCCCTGCTATGCCAGATTATGTACAGCACTCAAAATATTTTATCATTCTAGAGCTACAGACACCTTATTTTTTTCCCCAGACATCTTATATTTTAAAATTTAAAGAAGTTAAAGAGGTAGGTACTTGGTATGTTACTGAATAACTCAGCTGAGAGACTAGGCTTGAGCCAATCATTGATTCAAGTCCTAGCTTTGTTGTGTAATAATTGGACAAGTTACTCCAAACTTCAGTTAACTCACCTGCAAAACAGGAATAACTCTAGTATTTGCCTTAGGTTCATAATGAATAGTTTTATGTATATCTGTAAGCCACTCAACAAACCATTTAACTCAGTGCCTAGCCAAAATTAAGTGCTAAGTAAAGTGGAATTTTAGGTACACACACACACAAAAGTAGTTTGGAGTTATATGCCTGTGTCTACACATTAATGGACAAGTTATTCCCACAGGCTGCAGAGTTCTCACTGCAGCATAGTTTTAAATTAGGATTAGATTTATGGAAAACTGTGGATAAAAGTGTATTATTGTTTTCTGGGTTTTTTTTTTTTTTTTTTTTTTTATGAGGGAGAGGGAGCTTTCTCAGTCTAAATCCATCTTAGAAGCAAAATCATTTTGATAGTACAATAAAGTTTAAAACACTATCCTAGGGGCACCTGGGTGGCTCAGACGGTTCAGCATCTGACTCTTGATTTCAGCTCAGGTCATGATCTCACATTTCTGAGATCCAATTCCGTGTTGGGCTCTGTGCTTGCAGTGAAGAGCCTGCTTGGGATTCTCTCTCTCATTGTCTCTCTGCCCCTACCCTGCTTGCACTCTCTAAGTAAATAAATTTTTAAAAATAATAAGATAAAATAAATGCAAATTAAGCATAGGAAGGAGCAAGGACAGAACACAACCCAAGTCTTTAAGAAATCATTATGTCCTGAAACCAAGCCAGGAGCAAAAAGACTCAGAACTAAGTAAAACCTCAGATTTAAAAAACAAAACAACAAAAAAACCCCAAAAACTTGGGGCACCTGGATGGCTCAGTCAGTCAAGCATCTGACTCTTGATTTCAGCTCAGGTCATGATCTCATGGTATGTGAGTTTGAGCACCACATCAGGCTCTATGCTGACAGTGCAGAGCCTGCTAGGAATTCTCTCTCTCAACCACTCTCCCTGCCCTTCCCCCACTCTTGTTTGCTCTCTCAAAATAAATAAAAACTTTAAAAAACAAAAACAAACATAAAAAAACCTATATAAAAATTTCAAAATTAAGTAATGAAGAAGACCTCAGGCCTCAGAAAGTTCTCCTTACATGATCAAAAACTGCATACATTTTATAAATATAAGCTAAAGTAATACTGGAGGCATAATTCTGCAATCCAGCTAGGTCTTCCTCCCATGAAGAATGTGATGAATGTTCACTTCACAATATCCCAACTTATAGCAAAGGGCTATGGACAGTTTGCAAACCATCTATTTGATAAAGACTTTTATGTAAAGAAGTCTTACAACTCAATAATAAACAATCCAATTTAAAAATGGACAAAAGATCCAAATAGACATTTTTCCAAAGAAAATGCACCATGGCCAATCAACACATGAAAAAAATGCTTAACACCATTAGCCACTGGGAAATGCAAGTCAATGAGATACCACTTCATACCCAGAAGGCTACCATCAGAAAGACAGAATAGCAAGGGTTGGCAAGATATGGAATAATGGGAACACTCAAACACTGCTGAGAGGAATATAAAATGGTGTAGACAATTTGGAAGAGTTTGACAGTTCCTCAAAAGGTTGAGCAGTTACCATACAACCAAGAAATTCTACTCCTTGGTACTTATACCAGAGAATAGAAAACACATGTTCATGCAAACACTTGTACACAAATGTTCACAGCAGCATTATGCATCACAAAAAGTGAAAACCCAAATGTCCACCAACAGATGAATGGATGAATAAGTTACGTCCATGCAATGAAATAATACTTGGCAATAAAGAGAAATGAAGTACTGACACAAGTTAAAACATTAATGAACTTTGCAAACATTATGCTGTGAAAAAAAGTCACAACAGCCCACATACTACGTGATTCCATTTATATAAAATGTTCAGAATAAGCAAATCTGTAGATTAGTGGTTGGGGAAGGTTTATGGGTAAATGAGGAGTAACTTAACCGGTACAGTTTCATTTTGAAATGATGAACGTATTTTAAAATGGATTGTGGTGATGGTAGCACAACTGTGAATTTATTAAACCTACCTAATTACATACTTCAAATGGGTGAAGTGTAAGATATGTAAGTTATATCAATAAAGATATTATTTTTAAAAAATAAAAGGGGGCTATAGAAAAAACAGCCGATCAAGTATTTGTAAATGGCCAAATAATTAATTTCCTAAGTAGTCAAAATACGCCTGGAGAAATTAGTTATGCATCGTATTTAGTGATCTGATCATCTATTCTTACTAGACACTTTAACAGTGAACTTAAACTAGACACTCAGTAAGAGCAAGTATTAAATACTGCAGATTTCTGTTAACTGCAGATTTTTCTTAATTCAGCAAAACACGTATCACCCAAAGGACAACTTTGAACCTACAATTTTTCACCACATCCCCACTTCATTATTATACCAGCTGATTAGACACTTCTAAAAGCAACGGCTGAAGTTGATTTTAAACAAATATAATGGGTTTAGCAATGGTATTCTTTCCCATTTTTTGCTTAACTTCGTTAATGCGGTTAAAACGCTTAAAATGTTCAAAATAGCAAAAGCGGAGGGAATAAAAATTGGTTCCCGTTCCACGGTAACATAGTACAAAGCAACTGAAAGATTCGTTAACTCTGGCCAAAACCGAGAAAAAAGGGCAAGGAAAACTGACAATTTCCAATATTCCATGTTAGGCCTCAGTAATCTAAAAGTGGAAGAAAAAAAAAAGTGAGAAAACAAGAAATCTGTGCACGATCTGGGCGGGACGAAATTCTGGGTGCGATCCGCAGGCAGGATCCCGAGAGGGCCCTTGGCCAGTCCTGCCGCCGGCGCCAGGCTGGGCTGGGGCCTGGAGCTGACCGTGCCTCGGCGTCCCAGCCGGAGGAGCTTCGCCTAGGCGGCGTCTGGGGACTCGCCCCGCGCGGAGGTCAAGCCGAGAAGCGCCTCCAGGCTCCCGAGGGCTCCACCCTCCCCTCCTTCACTCCCTCCCCCTCGGCGGTCCCCTGAGGGGAACAGGCGGGGCGCACCGCGCAGAGACTAGGTTGGGGGGGGGGGGAGGTTGCGTTCTCAGCGAGAAAAGCTCCGCCGCCCTAGAGTGGCGGCCGCGGGTTATTAATAAACTCCGCTTCTACCCAGGCGCCGCTACCGAGGCCGGCCGTAGGATCGGCAGGGCCTGCGGCGAAGGCTGAGCAGCCGGAGTCAGAGCCCGGGCCCGAGCGGGCCCGCGCCGCCGCGCTGAGGGCGGCGGCCGGGCGGAGAATAATGCACACTGGGTAAAAACACATTTATATACGAACCTCCGAGAAAATTTTCCAACAATTCCTTCGTCCGACCACCATGCACCAGGACAGGAAACAGCCGCCCGGCCCCCAGGCCCCGTAACCCGCATAGTCAGTCTGAGGCCCGCCCCCAGCCTCCATTGGGCGAGCATTACGTCACTCACAAGACGCTTCCTGCTTGCCATTGGCTCAAATTAAGGCAACGCGAAAGGAGACCGCCTTATTCACGCCTCCTTTTCTTGACGTCAGTTTCGTCTGGCCTTGCAGCTAGCGCCTGAGTGGCTTGTGCAAAGTGCGGAATCAAAGTTCCTGTGTCTGACTGGTTGGCAGAACCGCTCATCCTAGACCGACACCGCCTCGTTGACAAGTGATTTATGCCGATTCTGGGGCCTCAGCGGGAGGCGCCATTTTGTAGCGAGGGAGGGAGGATGGTCCTTGTGACTAGCCGGGAGGGAGAAGGGGTGACAGGCGCCATTTTCCCCACAGGGGCTAGGAGGTGGCCTTGGCTCTCCCGGTGGGCTTGCTGGAGTGCGTTCTGGAGACTGGTTGGGCCTTGCCTAGCGACTGCCGAGTGTCGCCCCGTTGGGAGGGAGGTTGTGGGGAGGGCTAGTACAGAATAAGACGCCTGACCGCTCCCTGGGGGCTCTCGGTGCCAGTTGAGGCCTTTGGTTTCGGGCGACGGCTTTGTTTTCCAAGAGCTGCTGTGTGCCGGTCCCTGGCTGCTAGGCCTGCCTGCGCTTCTCAAGTCGCCGGGGCATCATCATTCGGTGGGAGAGTGGGCCTCCTGCCCTTGCCGAAACTGCGAGGGAGCTCGGCAACGAACGGGGCGGTAGTCCTAGACTCTGCTGGGAGACCCTTCGGATGCTTTTGCGCTTTCATGTTGTTTAGGTTAAAAATCTGAAGTCTGTATTGGTGTCGCTACCCTCGTTTTTTACTTTCCCTTTTGTATGTGTTGCTAATTAAAGGAAGGTTGAAAGGGTGGGAAAAACATTGACTTGGGCTCCCCCAAACCGTTAAGAATGGATACAAATTAGTTGTGAAGTTTAGGTCATAGTTTCTTGTAGCTTTCAACCCAGACATTTTCTAAACTATTGGAAATACTAGTGTTTTCAGGAGTATTCAGTGTTTATTTGCTTTGACAAAGCTGCGTAAAGATGAGATGGTGTGAAGACTCAAGATGTGTTAAACCGAGCATTATAGATGTAGAATGAGGGGGTTACTAAGAGAATAAGGTGACTGATAGATTTTTAACACTTTTGTGACCTTAGAAAAACTGGAGAGAGCTGTATGGTGTTTCATTTAGTGTCTTGGATTTCAAATGGTGATTATGGCTAAAGGATTAAAGCAAAAGGATGTTAGAGTGTTAGAGGTAGCTAGCCTGTGGATTCTAGTTTGAGACATTAACGTTACATTCTTTTTGGCGGGGTGTGGAGGCCGACTCACCGGCCCGCCGGGTTACCTAACCAAGGCACAGTTGCATAATCGGTGCCCAAACTCCATTAGAAGGTAAATAGGACTTTGAATTTATTTTGAATACGTATTGCTTAGGAATTTAAAGTAGTTACTATTTTTTACGCCCATGTAAAGATGAAAAATGTGACACAAAACTAGATTAGGTTACTTGAAGCTGGAGGAATACGTTTACAAAACAAATTTGTGCCCAATAGATACATTCCCTTTGTCACAGAGATGGAGAGTTTAGATGAAAAACAAGATGTTTTAATTAATCTTTCAGTACCTTCCGGATGTTATACTTGTATAAACAGAAGTGTCATTAAAAGAATCTGTACTTTTATGCAGTTTAGCCAGTTATTATTACTGAGTCCCTTGCCTTCAGTCTACTCATTAAAACACAGTATAATACAGAATCTCAAAAATAACTTAAAAATCACCCTGTAGTTAGTTGTAGATTGCAATTATAGGATATCTTTATATCCCCAGAACCTTCTGAGTGGTTGAAAAATTGGTGGTGGTGGATAGGGTGCTATAATTGTAACCTGATTGAGAGAAAAAACCTTAATTCTGATTTTGTCACAGGTAATGATACTTTGTTAATAGTATTTACCAGTGACTGTAGAACAGAGTTGAAGTACACGTGGTATTCAACGCCATTCATAATGTTCAGATTTTCCCCAATCACCTGTCTTCTATCTTACTACATCTCAAATTAATGGCTTAAAAATATTTCACTTCCACTCAGTGCTATTTCAAGCTCTTAGATAAAGCTGGACCCTTTCCCCCATTTCCTAAATAGGCTTGACGTTTCCAGCCTCCTTTAAAAACTGTTCCCATCATGTTTTTTAAAGCATTCCTTTCAGTACCCAAAACTTTCTGGAGAACTGGTTGATTTTCTCATATCAAGCCCCATGTTGGACTGCAGCCTGGGTGTGAAGCATGCTTAAAAAAAGAAAGAAAACGGGCACCTGGGGGCTCAAGTCAGTCAAGATTCGACTTCAGCCCAGGTCATGGCCGTGCGGTTCCTAGGATCGAGCCCCAGGTCAGACCCTATGCAAACAGCTCAGAGCCTAGAGTCTGCTTTGGGTTCTTTGTCTCCCTCTCTCTGTGCCCCTCCCCTCCTCTGGCTCTGTGTCTTTCTCAAAAATAAACATTTTTTTTTTAATTAAAAAGAACAAAGAAATGATTTCTGGGAGAAGTTGTTATAGCTCACTTTACTAAATTCTGTAATAAATTTGAATTTTTTTATCATGAATTTGTAGATTTTATTTTCAACACTAACAAATTTAAAACCAAACTAGTTTCTTGCTCTCCTCTGGGAGTTGTGGCTGTAGATGTGTCCTAGTCTCAGAATTTGTTAACTCATTGGTAAGGTAAAACCACTTATTTCACAGTGTAATTGGGAGGATATATGTAGAAGTATAGATATGATACAACTAGTAATGTTTTGTTAGTGGCTAATTGCACAATTTCCCTTATTTCAAGCTCCTCTCTAATGCCAATATGAATGCATTTTTTTTTCTTTTTACCAACTCTATTGTTGGATCAATTTGTCAACCTTATTTGAAAAGATCACCCAATTAATGAGCTTCAGGGTTTACCAATTGTTAATGTGTGTTGTTTACTTCAGTGACAAACTAAAGGGAAAATAACACCCTCAATTTACAAAATATAAATCTTCTGAAGCTCCTTAAGATTCCAAGTGTCCTTCTGAAACTATCTCCATGACATTCTGACTATCATTTTGGCTTCTAATTATATTTACTTAAATCTGAAGTACAACATTACAGAAAAAAGGAAAACCAATTAATATACATAGTAGATAGTGAGCAGTCGAAGAATGCAACCAGTGGTTTTAACATGATTTTATTTTTCTGGGAAAACATTCTCTTGAGACAAGGTGGGATTTTTTTTAAGTGAAGTTCAGGTCTCCAAATAAGCAGTATGATTGATACACCATTTTACAGAAAAACACTAAGTGCTGTAACTTTCTTGAGAAAAAAAGTTTGGCTCAGTCTTAAATTCTTAATACTATATATTACATCAGAAGATAAAGCAGAGCTACACCATTTATGGAAAACTACAGGTAGTAGGGCTGCTGTTAGGGTGATGAGATTTAAAATATGAACGGGGCACTTGGCTGGCTCAGTTGGTGGAATGTGTGACTCTTGATCTTGGAATCTTGGATTTGAGCTCTATCTTAGGCCTACAGTTACTTACTAAAAATTAAAAAATAAAGAACGAACTAGTAACAAAACAAAGTATGAGAGTACAATCCCTAAGATTGACTCCAATCTCTAGACTATTTACAACTGAATAACCATGAGTAAAACTGTTTTTACTTTAGGCACATTTCATGCTTTTTAGAGAACTTTACCCAAATTTGACTTAAGAAAACTGAAAATTGAGGGGCGCCTGGGTGGCTAAGTCAGTTAAGCATCAGATTAGATTTCAGTTCAGGTCAGGATCGCACACTTGGTGAATCCAGTCCCGCACTGACAACATGGAGCCAGCTTGGGATTCTCTCTCCCCGCTCCCACCCGCCCCCCACCTCTGCCCTGATCACTCTAAAAGTAAATAAACTTAAAAAATAATATATTTTGAAAAAAAAAAAAATGAAAATAGGGGTATTCATGTAAAACTCACCATTTTGAACTATACTTGAGCAGTTTTTAGTATATTCACAAGACATGCAACCTAAAATATTTTCATCAGGGTACCTGGCTGGCTCGGTTGGACTCTTGATCTCAGGGTCGTGAGTTTGAGCCCCACATGGGTGTAGAGTTACTTAAATAAATAAAACCTAAAGAAAAAATAAAACATTGTCATCTTCACCAGAAGAAAACCTTCATTATCCATTAGCAGTCTTCATTCCCTTTCCCACTCCCACAACCACTAATTTGTCTCTGGATTTGACAATTCTAGACATTTCATATAAATGGAACATTTTGACTTGACTTCTTTCACTGTTTCAAGGCTCATCCACATTGTAGCATGTTAACTACTTACTTTTTATTGTTAATATCCGACTGGTTGTGACTATACATTTTGTTTATCCATCAATTAATGGTTATTTGGGTTTTCACCTTTTGGCTATAATGCTATGAACAATTATGTCCATGTTTTTGTGCAAACGTGTTTCATTTCTTGTGGGTATGCACATCTAGAAGCATTTCTGTGTTCCACTATTTTCAGTCTTCTGAGGAACTGCCAAACTTTTCTACAACAGGTAAGCATTCTCAGCAATTTGAGTGTGCCAGTTTCTCTACATCCTCTTCAAACTTGTAATTGTTCACCTTCTCGATGATAGACATGCTAATCGGTGTGAAATATCTCCTTGTGATTTCCCTAGTGGCCAGTGACATTCAGCATCTTTTCCTGATACAGGTCATTTCTTTGAAGAATTTTTTTTTTTTTTTTTTAAATAAGCTCTGTGCCTAACATGGGGCTTGAACTCCTGAGCCCAAGATCAAGAATCGCATCTTCTACCAACTGAGTCAGCCAAGCAACCCAGGATTCCCATTTTTTCAATTGGGTTTTTTTTGTTGTTGAGTTGTAAAGGTCCTCTGGGTTGTCTTTTCACTTTGAAGCAGTTTAAAATTTTGATGAAGTTCAAGTCACCTATTTTAACCTTTTGTTGCTTGTGCTTTAGTGTTAGATCCAAGAAACCATTGCCTAATTCAGAGTCACAAAGATTAATGCATTTTTTCCTAAGAGTTTCAAAGTTTGAGTGAGGTCTTATATGTAAATCTTTTAACCACATTTATGTACGGTGTGAGGGTACATACCCAGCTGTCTCAGAATCACTTGAAAAGATTATTTTCATATTGAATGGTCTTGGCACCCTTGTCAAAAATCAGTTGACTATAAACTTAGTTTTATTTCTGTATTCTCAACTTTATTCCATCAGTCAGCATAAAATGTCTAGTCTTACACCAGTACCACTGTCATGGTTGAGTCCCTTGCATTTCCATACAATTTTTCAATTATTTTGTCAATTCCTGTAAAAAAAAAAAAAAAAAGTAGCTGGGATTTTTTACGGATTACACAGAATCTGTAGATCTGGGGAGTGTTGCCATCATGATACTTTCAACTCATGAATATGGGAGGTCTTTCCATTTAGGTCTTTTTCCAACAGCGTTTATAGACTTTATGTTCAGCTTTGTTAAATTTTTGATGCTATTATAAATGCAATTTTAGGGGCGCCTGGGTGGCGCAGTCGGTTAAGCGTCTGACTTCAGCCAGGTCACGATCTCACGGTCCGTGAGTTCGAGCCCCGCGTCAGGCTCTGGGCTGATGGCTCAGAGCCTGGAGCCTGTTTCTGATTCTGTGTCTCCCTCTCTCTCTGCCCCTCCCCCATTCATGCTCTGTCTCTCTCTGTCCCAACAAATAAATAAACGTTGAAAAAAAAATTTTTTTTTAAAAAATGCAATTTTATTTTCATTGCTATTGTATAGGAATATAAGGGGTTTTTTTGAATATTAATCTTGTGTCTTGCAACTGTGATTAAGCCCTTAGCTCTTTTCTATATGTGGATTCCTATAAGTTTTCTATAAGATCATGTCATCTGCAAAGTTTCACTTCTTCCATTCCAATCTGAAAGGCTTTTATTTCTTCTTCTTGCCTAATTGCCCTGGCTACACAATCTCAGGTAAAATGTTGAACAGAATTGGCAACAGGTTATTTGCTTGTCTGGTTCTTGATTGTAGTTTTTATCCTTTCATCATTAGGTCCTTTAATTAGCTTTTTAAAAAAGGTTTTTGAGGGGCACCTAGGTGGCTCAGTAGCTTAAGCATCTGACTTCGGCTCAGTCATGATCTCATGGTTCATGAATTCAAGCCCCACATTGGGCTCTGTGCTGACAGCTCAGAGACTGAAGCCTGCTTTGGATTCTGTGTCTCCCTCTCTCTGCTCCTCCCCTGCTTGCACCCTCTCTCTCTCTCTCAAAAATAAATAAATAAATAAATAAATAAATAAATAAATAAATAAATAAATAAATAAATAAGAAAAAAAGGAGTTTTGGTAATGCCCTTTTTTCAGGTTGAGGAGTTCCCTTGTATTTCTAGCTTTAGTTCATTAAACGATTTTTTTAATCTTTTATTTTTTAATGTTTATTTTTGAGAGAGCAAGCATAAGTAGGGGAAGGATAGAGAGAGAGGCACAGAATGTGAAGCAGGCTCCAGGCTCTGAACTGTCAACTCAAACTCAGAGCCCAATGCAGGGCTTGAACAACCATGAAACATGAGATTATGACCTGAGCAAAAGTTGAATACTTAACCGATTGAGCCACCCAGGTGCCCCTAAAAACTCTTAAAGAGCACCTGGATAGTGGCTCAGTTGATTGTCTGATTCTTAATTTTGACTCAGGTCATGATCTTACAATTAAGAGACTGAGCCCCATGTTGGACTCTGCACTGTGGTGGAGACTACTTAAGATTCTCTCTCCCTCTCCCTCTGCCCTGCTTGTGTGCGCACATGCACTCCCTCTCAAAAAGAAAAAAAAAATCTTTTAAGACTCAGATAGGAAGCATTTAAATATAGGATTCAAATATTGAGTGTAACTGACAAATTTCAATCTATACACGAAAGCAAAATCTAGATGTATATATGATCACCTATGCTTTAAAAAAACTGAGAAAGGGAGGATTACTTCACAAAGAAGTTACTTAAAAGATACTTTCCCCTTACATACTGATAAAATCCCTGATTTCTAGCTGGGTATCTAGTTTCCCATTGTAAGAACCACAAGCACCAAAGTGCAATTCCAAGAGTGGCCAACCTCATCAAGGGTAAAAATCTAGAATTTAGGCATGCTAATAAAGATTCACAGATAATCTTCACCAGAACTTAAAAGTATATAGAACAAAACTGACATTTTTATAATGGATAGGTTTTAATGTAATTTTAGGTCATTCATTTTACAAACATTTATGGAATGCCTACTA